TTGCTAGCGTCGACAGACTGACGTACTAGCCAACGCAAGCAACTGTCCTTTCACTTCTATGGATTTTTTTGACCATCTTAAAGCTCCGGTGGGATGGTGGCCTAGTTGTCTCGGATGGCTTTTGATGGAAGGGCCAATTTTTTTGCCCTTACGATTAGTCCACATTCGTCCACCAGGCAGAGCTCCACCCAAATCCATATTTCTGCCAGATGGATACTAGTGGTTACTTGTGTATCGGGCAAGGGGTTACATGAGATCTGGTTGAGTCATGGTACAGTCTTTCACCGGGGATTGAAGAGGATTCTTCATGTTGGCGGCCTCCATCCTACGACAAGTTTTTATCAATTCAAAATCCTGAAAAGGTTCAAGGCTGACTCCTTGTTAACTTCATATCTTTGTTACTTTGAAACAAGGACTGAATTCTGTTTGAATTTTTCAAGAGTTAGACAAGCCTTTGTATCGAACTTTAAAAATATGAGGTTCCTTTGCTGAAGTCCGTAAAACCGAAGAGGATTCACAGAAAAACCAACACTTACCAATCCGGAGTATTACAATTTCATGTGCACACTAAAATAAAAAAAATTTTGAAAGTATTTTGTCGAAAGTGTCATCGATCTGTGCATTATGAAGCTTTCTGAAAAGCTAGAATGCATTTCCACTTCCACTTCACCCACTTGCCTTATTAGACTTTGAACAGTTCTGAATGAAAGCACTGTAACTTTCGACTTTTTTTTTCGCATGCAATCTTTGCCATTGTTTCCTAGTTTATACGGGCAGCTTGAATGTCACAATTCCCTCTTCAGGAGTGGTAGGTCGGATTGAGCACGACTATACAAAATCCTCTAAACAGTTACCACTCTTTCGACCACTAAGGTCAAGACGAAGAATTCCCAACGGCTTTGAATAGTTGTTATTCCAACACTGTTTAGGACCGGAATATGATCTGTTACCAATGATGGGGGTTGGACGTGAGTTCGACCAGAACGGCATCATTGTCTGTCAAATCAATGCTGAGGTTGGTGTTAGCGTTTTGGAAGCGAAAGCTAAGAAATTTTTTCATACTTCAAAAATTTATGTATTATTACTTGCGATTCTTGACTTTGAACCCACATCCATATGTTCATTCATTCTTTCAGATCCATCACGGTCACACCGACTATCAGGAGCGATTCGCTGCTGTCCTACAACAATTACTCTCAGATCGTCGCTATGCAATCTTCAAAGTAGTCACTACAACACATCATCGAACGTGCCTTCTTAACTTCGAACATCGAGAATGCATTGAAAAATACATTCTGCAGTATTTTAGGTAGCATTTGGTCTTTTTTCATAGCGTCCTAATTTTTTTTTCATATCATTGCTACTTTGGAGAGAGAGCCTCCTTGATTCTGTATAAATGTTCAATAGACGAAGAGATTTTTGTATCAAGTTCCAAAAATACGAGGTTACGCTTTTAAAGGAAGAGGAACCGCAAAAAGCCCAGAGAAATGGAAATATAATACGAATCGATCCGGAGTATCGCAAAATTGCAACCGAATACTAAAAAAGAAAAGAAAAAGTTGGAAAGAGTAAGGAAAGGGGAGAAAAACTACTTCCGTATGTAAGACAACTACTGGCTATTGCAGGTCGAACGAGCGCTCTGAACAATGTACATCAAAGCTCACTAGAGCTTTCTTTGGTATAGCGATTGAACACTGCAAAACAAGAAGGCTGTTGCAAACTCAGAAAAACTCGAGAATTCAAGGAAACAGGCCCGATCGATATAT